TAAAGTAACTCTTCAACATGCAGTCAACACTTACTTTTAGCTTTCCGTTCCAGAAGTTGAGCTGCCTGTTTCCCTGGTGATACAGCAGCATCCTTTCCTGGGCTTTCAACCCCATCTTCTGGAGATTTCGCCAATGTCCTCTTCGCAATTTGATAAGCTGACCCTGAAACCAAGGTGGATTCAGGACTCCCCGATGCCGGAGTTTTATCCTTGATTGCTTTTTCAGCACGAGATGGCACAGCAGCTGCTTCTTTCTGAAGCTTCTCTTCTTGGCGCTGTTTCAGTTGCCGCTTCTCCCTCATTATCTCTTCAAGGCTCTTCACTTGAACTTTAGAATTAGTTGCACTTTGATCAGAGGGCTAGAAAGAAACACAGAGAGGACTAATAGGACAAAAATCTATAGAGATTTCATTATGAAAATTTGAGTGGCAATCTCTCCAAAATGTCTCTGTGTGGAACAGAGCATGTTAATACCAGATCTGACATTTTTTCCATAAAATGTTGTCTGTAATGACATTCATGCTTTGCTGTAGAAATACTGTTTGAAAAGCCTGCAATTCCCAACACAGCAAGTTTCTTTAATAGAGCAGAAGGCTCTAGCTGTAATCTATTACATTCTTTTTAAGCAACAGAAAGTCATACAAGCTCCCCAATACAGTATTCACTGACAGACTGATTTCCTCTAATACAAAGCTCCAGCCTTTTCTATAAAAATACTTACTTCAGGATTTGAAGATATCCTCCAAGTCTGACAGATAAAGTCACTGAGAACAAAAACTTTCCCTCCACATTAACCTCACAGATTTTATCTGGTGCTAATAAGGTTTCTTCTTCATTGTCAGGTATAATCAGATTAATTCAAAGCTTGAGGATTACAATGTTGTCTGGAAATGCTATTGGAAGTGACAGGACTTAGACCTCACTGCACTGCTTACCAAGTGAGGAAAGGTAGAAACACATTCAAACTGGGAGCATGCAGCAAGTTACAAACAAAACACGACAAAATTTATCAGAAGTTGTACATCTTCACAAAGGACTCACCTCTGCAGGTGCAGAAACAGCTTTGGGAGAAGTCTTGCTCAGTTCCACTACCTTCTTCTCTTCTCTTCCAGGTGCTTTAAAACAAGCAGGGGAAAAAAAAAAGTCAACAGCAGAAATAAAGAAATCTGGTTACCTCTGTTTCCTTGATGTGTTTATTTCCTCATGTCTAATAATAGGACAGAGGGAAAGGCTACAGTAAGCAATTCATGCAGCATTCGAGCTCTCACCTTCTCTTTTTACAGGGCTTATATAATCTTAACGATGAGATCTTTAATGCTCTGTCATTTTTGACAAAAACTGCCCCTCACGTTAAGTAGTTGATACATGGTTCACAAACACATATATGTCAATAATTATGTTAAACAACACATAAGCCAAAGAGGAACTTGGATCCAGCACAGGGGAGATCCCATACCACACACAGATGGCAGAAAAAGCAGAAGAGAGAAATTAGACTACAAAGCTCCTCAATGAATAAATTTTCCAGTGGGAAATACAGAAAGCTATCATGTAATTAATGGAAAATAATATGGTTGAATATTCTGGCACTTTCTTGCCTTCTGACTTTGTAGCCTTAAACTCTTTTATCCTCTAGTATACATAGAAGGAAAAAGCAAAGCCTATGCAAACTGAATTTGCTTGATAGCGGAAGCACTTCACCAGGGCAGATACCAAATCATCTTATTACCTATTAGCTTTGTGATCCGCAACAATCTCCTCCCTGTTGGGGCAGGTTCAGGTTGTGCTGGTGGAGCTGGCGCATTTTCTCCACTCTGCTGCATCCGCAGAGCTTTCTCCTGCTTGATTTCTTCCAAGGTTTTAATACGCACCTCTCCTGCTGGCTTGGATTTACCTGCTGGCTCTTCCAGCTGCACTTTGCCCAGCACAGATGGAGCAAGTATGCTCTGCTTCTTGGGCTCACTCTCAGCTTTTGTCTTTGTAGGAAACTCTTCTGCTTTTTGCTTCTCTTCTTCCAATCGCTTATGTTTTTTTTCAGCCAGGGCTCCTGAGAAAGTTTTGATGCGAACTGCAGGGGAAGGTCTTGTCCCCGAGCTGGGATCTTCTGTGTTACAATGTCCTTCAGCTTGGGGTTTAGCTTGAGGTTCTCCTCGTCTCTGATTAGCTCTCTCAAGACGAATTTCCTCCAGTGTTTTGACATGGATCTCTCCTGTTGGCTTAGCAGCCTTCTCTGTCATAATCAAAAAAGAGAAGCACCAACATTTAAAGACAGTCCAACAATATTTAAAATCTCTAAAATTTTCACAGTACTACGGAAAACTAGGTTTGAGCGTTCCCAAGAATGCATCTTAGGATAATATCATTCTGCATAATATTCTCCCCCTCCTTTAAGCCACTTGTATTTTGAAGACCAGTGCTATCAGAGAGAGTTGCTACGCAAAAATGATTAGTCTATTTTATGTTGTTACTTTCTCAGACTGTCTCTCTCCCCTAGCATCTCAAACTCCTGCTCCTGGCAGCAGTTCTATTCTACGTGTGTGTGAGCATACTGCAGCTTCTGACTGTTCACAGCAGGGGCGTGAAACCTTGGTGAGGCACAAGTGGAAAACACACACACCCCCCACCCACCGCCCCTGCCCAGAGCCAGACTGCTGAAGCTGTCCTGATGGCCTCTGTCAGAACTCAAGCAAGAAGAATCAGGAAGTTTTTTTAAATTAACTTTGAGAGACGTATGCAAGTTCACAGAAAGAAAAAAGGGGAAGGCATATTTAATATCCACTTATTACCTGTCTCTGTACTGGTCTGTTCAGAGGGCAATCCTAGCCTCTCCTTCAGAGACTTGGGGACTTGAACTACAAGACAGAACAAAAAAAGTTAGGGAGATGGCATAAATCTCAATATTGTGTTCACATTTCAAAATGAGACAGGAGATGATTTCACTGAGGTTCAAAGTCACCTTGAGCCATCAACCAACACACAAAAACAATCATTAGAAGAAAGGACAAACAGAAAAACTAAATGGAAAAATCTGTGCATCAAATTCAGATGTCTGTTTAGCAGCTGTACCTCTCTTTGGTGCTTTGTCGGCGTTCTCTAGAATCTCTATCTTCTTCCCCAGCCTTTCAGCAAGGTTGCGCTTTAGTGGAAGGACACTTTTACCAGCTTCAGAAAGAGAGAAAACAAGAACTACTTTTAAGAACATTTCCCTGGAGGAGGATTTTTGAACAGTCAGCCACAAACTTCAATTTTTCCAGGTATATTTTCTTGTATTTGCCTTTCAGTTACTAAGAAAATTTGCCATTTCTGCAGTCAACACAGATCTCTGACAAAATGTATTTTCCTCCCGCATACAGCAAAAATACCCTTAAATATAGTCACGTTTAGATGAGGGCACCCAAACAACAGCTAACAACAAGCTCTTACCTATGGAGGTTTTCCGTTTACCCAGTCTCTCAGCAAGATTCAGTCGAATCACAGGCTCCTCCCCTAAAAACAAAGAATAATCTCTTTAGTGCATGGAAACCAGTAGCCAGTAAAAGCATTATCCTTCTAGTCCATGTCCCAAAAGACGACACTCTTTTGGTAGCCAAACCACACAAATGAACAACAAGTAGTTCTACATGTTTTTTGCCTTTAAAAGGAATCTGTGCAGATCTAACCACCACCATTTATACACAGACTCACATCACACTACTGTTCACAACTGCCACTGTCAGCCTCTTTAATGCTTCAAAAGTTGGCTACTTGTATAATACCAGCTTCTATAGGTCTTCCCTGTCATTACTCCCGCTTTTCAGTTATCTCCTTATTTGCATACCAACACTTGTTTTGACATTAGCCTCTCTCTCTGCTGCTACTGCACTTAACCCATGCACTTAACATGCTGTCAACATGTTAACTCATTCACAAATCTCACTCAACTCCAGGAACGTGAAAGCCAAATTAAGCACAATTTGAGAGCCTGTAGGATGGTGCTAATATATGATTAGCTATGGCTTAATGTCAGGGCGATAAAAAACACTTCTTCATCTTTTATTGCAATACAACAAACTAAGCACCTAAAAATGCCCTATCTTTCCAATACAACCAGGACTTTCTGCATAAAAGCATGATTTTAATTAGAAAAAGCAGCACCAGCAGACAAGCATGTCTGAATTATCTTAATTATTACTTAACCTTTCTGTTTAGGAGCCAGGAAATGCAAACAACAGTAGTCACTATTACCTTGCTTTGTAGACAGAGTCACAGTTCTCACTACTGTCCGCACATTTTCCTTTTCTGGCACAGGAATAGTCCGAGATTGGAGCGGATGAACAGAAACTCCTGAAGGACCTTCTGATCAGAGCAAACAAAACATAAGGATGTTTAGGAAAAAAAAAAAACAAACAACAACCCAACAAAACAGAAGAACTATCAAAGACCAAAAACATTAGTATTCATTACTGTCAAACATAAAATGACCAGTGCATGCAAATAATAGAGATGAGCAGTTTCTCTCTGATTTGCCCTTGGAATTCCAACCTAGAATACCAGCTGTTTGAGTTTAAGCAAACAGGTTGCATGCCAAAGTAGCTCAAGGGCCCCAGCTAATCATGGAAGTCTGTCCCTTAAGCAGCTCTCAGCTGCAATCACCTCCCAGCCTGAACCCAATATGCAAAAAAAAAAAAAAAAAATTTCCTTTCTTTTGCAAATAATTGTATTCACCAATGCACAGCCAACTATCCAGATAATATCAGAAGGATAAAATAAAATAAAATAAAAAAAAAGATGAAGGTGAACAAAAGGCAGAAGGATAAGTAGGGGATATTAACTCACCACCTTGTTTTTTTGTTTTTTCCTTTAGTTTTTTCAGTTTGATTTCTTCAAGTGTTTTTATTCCGAAATTCAAATTGTCATCTGAAAACACAGAACGGTTAATGAAACTAAGGCTTAAAGGCACATGTTGAAGAGCACAGATTCTCAAGCTTCTTACAGCTCAGAGCCTTTCCAAAGTATTTTGGATAAGACTGTGTCATTACTCCCCACAAGTGAAAAAAGCCACAGAACAGATGGTATTTTGGTAAGCAACTGGGACCTTCCTTCACCCCTCCTCCCACGCTTCAGGGTAAAACCTATAGTTTTAAGCATTTTAATCCATCTATGTGATATTAGATTCCTCTATCACTAGACATGGCTTTCCACCATGGTTGAAAGAACACATTTGCAGACATTTAAAGTCCACTACATGGCTCTGTTTTATTCTACAGAAGTAAACAAGGAGGAGCTTACCTGTCTGACCCAAGGGACATATGACATTATTAGACAGGAATAAGCTCATGGAAATAACCGACTCTATCCAGCTACCCTATGTTCTATCATGTGTTTTGAACATACTGCTTTTGAGTTAATTGTCAAATTCTCCTTCCAATCCATCCTACTACAGCTGTTAGAATACCTTGCTTTGTATTAGCATTGGATTTCCTAGTGGAAATTATTCTCAATCCATTATGGGCTTCTGTAGCTGGTTGCTGGACAGGTGTTTTAGTTTCATCTCCTTCTTCAGAAAGCTGGTCTGAAAGGCAAAAATAAACCTACTCAGTAATGCAGTAGGGATTAGACAAGAGTTTTGATGTTTATGTAGCTCATACAATGACGTTTCAGTTCATGGTTCATACTGTGTTCGTATTCTTAACTACAAACACAAACAATTGTTTATAGAAGCATTTAAACAGCTATATTGACTTGACAAACTCATGTAAGTACAACAGCTATACTGGGAAAAAATATTTAGGTCTCCAGACTGGCATTTGTAGCTTTAACTACTACACAATTCAGGTATTCTGTGATTTACATATTCACTTACAGTAGAAATGCCTTCAATTAACTAAAAAAAATGCTCACCATCATCATCTTCATCATCATCTGCAGCATTGATTACAACTGGAGGATGTGTAGGACTCGGGACATTTTCAGAGTTTTCCACTTTCATCACTCCCCTCAGCTGTGGAGAGGGATTTGACTGAACAGAAAGTTTGTTTTGCTGCAGTGACATCTGAGCCATTTTCACATCATCTTCTGCAGACTCAGGTGGACTTGGAAGTGTAGCTAGAGGAAGAGGAGGATCATCTGTAATTTGGCCATTTAAAACGTTGACCCCAATGTTGCCCTCACTGTGTAGATATTGTAGTGTCCTGGTTTCAGCCAGGGTAGAGTTAATTTTCTTCACAGAAGCTAGCGTGAGGCTATGTTTTGGATTTGGGATGAGAAAATGTTGATAAGGTGCTGATGTTTTGAGTTGTTGCTGAGTAGTCAAGGACAGTCCAGCTTCTCGTGCTGGCCTGCAGCGAGCAGGCTGGGGGTGCACGGGGAGCTGGGAGGGGACACAGCCGGGACAGCTGACCCAGGCTGGCCAAAGAGATATTCCATACCATATAACGTCATGCTCAGTATATAAAGCTGGGACGAAGAAGAAGGAAGGGGTGGAGGGACGTTCGGAGTTATGGCGTCTGTCTTCCCAAGAAACCATTACACGTGACGGAGCCCTGCTTCCCTGGAGATGGCTGAACCCCTGCCTGCCCATGGGGAGTGGGGAATGGATTCCTTGTTTTGTTCTGCTTGTGTGCGTGGCTCTTGCTTTACCTGTTAAACTATCTTTATCTCAAACCATGAGTTTTCTCACTTTTACTCTTCCTATTCTCTCCCCCGTCCCACCGTGGGGGAGTGAGCGAGCGGCTGCGTGGTGCTTGGTTGCTGGCTGGGGCTAAACCACGACATGTAGATATCCTACCTGGCTACCGAATTTAGAGTTTCCAATTCACCCCCCGGTTAGACTATGAACAAATCTCACCGCCCTACCACTCAAAGGATTAAATGAGGGGAAAGCAATCTGAAAGGCAAAGATCACACAAAGCCCAGAGAAGCTAAGCATGAAAGAAAAAATTAAATACCAGAATTTAATTCCGTTTAGCTGAGAACCTATGACTGCAGACTTCTCCCTGCACTCATAAATGAACAGTTACTTGACGTCTTCTACAGTATTGTACCCACTCATGAGTAATACTCAAAATTAATTATTTAATCCTTAAAGAAAAAGGACCTAAGAAACTCACTTTTGCTTGGCGGTAAGAAGAGTCCATCAACATAACGTCCTTTTGTGTGATGAAAAGCACAGTTGGATTTTTGACAGCCTACTGGCTGATTCTCCCAGTAGCAAGGAATCTCACTGCGTTTTTTCTGAAGACAGAAAGAAATAAAAGCTTGTGGTAACACTTACCTTAGATTTGCAGAGAGACAGTTTCACATCATGTCAGAGGTAGGACTGTTGCAGTGCAGTGCTGAAACATCATCCGAAAGGTCTATTTATCACTCAAAGTATTTCAGGGCATATATACACAAAGTTTGCATAGGCTGTTATCTAGCTTTCCTGTCTTTCATTCTGGAAGACAGGCACTCTCACAAATTAATTCAGGGTGGGTTAAACTACGCAACGTGCAAAATACTGGGATTATTCAGAGAGAAAATGTCTTAAATTGCCTAGGTTAAGTCTATCTGAATTTATCTTTCAGAGCCTTAGTTCCTTCCCATCTTTTCTCTCCCCACCCTGTACTACCCCAAGAGGTTAGAACAACATTATCTGAAGAAATCCAGGACAGAAGAGATCCAATAGGCCACTATCAAGCCAAGCCCTCAGGAGGCTAGCACAGGCTGTTTACTAACCACCCTGCTCCACCATATTTAAGCAGTCTGATCAACGTGGTTGCTCTTGCCTCCGTTAAGAGACTCATGTCAGCACCCAATACAAACATTTCTTACTGAGATATACCTAAGAAATTGATTTTTCTTCCCCCAACTTCCTCCCATCCCCCTTCCTAGTAATAGAAACCAGTATCATTTTAAAGCAAGCAAATCTATCATGTAAAAGCACATTCAGTCCACCTACAGCAATGAGAAATGCTTTCAGTGATTTAGTTTGAGAACACATCTTTGGGCAAACACTCACATCAATTTCCATGTGTCTGAATCTGCAGATATTCCTGAAACAGCGACCCTCCTGCCAGAGCGTGCAGACTGTTTCATTTCCCAGAGCAGCTTCACAGTGGCGGAAGGAACAGCTGTCTCCCTGTAACGAAAAGGAAACCAACGAAAAGGAAAATAAAATAGTACAGCCTAAAATACAGCCCACACTATTAGAACCAGAAGCAGAATCTAACTGCTTATTAAGTTACCAGAAATCTGTACGTCTCCTCCCACTCTTCCCCCTCCTCTCTTAAAAACTAAAAAGAAAAAAAAAAAAAAAGGCAAAAGAAACCCAAACATACCTTGTTACATGTGGAATAGAAATAGAAGTAGCAGTCATCTCCTTGGTTAGACATAATGGACGAATTCTTAGAATAAGCTTGGTACTAAGGGTTTGCTCAACAGGGACTTTCTCCACTCTTGGCAAGAGCTGGCTTCACTCTTTCTTGGACTGAAAGTCTTCCACTGGCTTGATCAGTGAAATCTTCTTTTTAAAAGTAACCCTAAAAAAAAGGTATCAGTAAGTGAAAAATACTTAACTAACAAGCATTTTTAAAGTCTCTTTCAGTTAATCAAATTAGACTCTTGATGGGGGCAGTATCTTGAAATCAGCTGGTCACAAATACTATCCCAACACTAAGACAAACTTCTGTAAAACTGCACGGGTTTTGTCAGCAAGCATTCTCTTCTGTGTCTTTAGTAACACTTAAATGGCCTTGGAGCACAGAAAAAACTACTGCATGTGGCTGTAAGGCCAGTAAGAGTCAGTTCTTTAAAAATTGGTCATACATTTGAGTTATCAGTCAGTGATTAACTGTGGGTACTAATAACTTCTATAAAACACAACTGGCATATTAAACGTTATTTTCCAATCACCATGGATCTTCCAGTTCACATACCTGGACAACTTCAGCAAAGATATCAATCTTCAAAGACTTCCAGTTAACTTCTCCTGTAGGCCGAACCAACACTGAATCCGTGAATTAATAATAAAGGGGTAGAAAGAATTTTCCTCCTCACATTGCCAAGGGAACCTCTCATCCACAATTCAAACATAGGATGTGCTTTTAAACATCTTACAACTAATGGAGGAAGCAAGTCCATTTGAATACTGTCAGACTGGAGACAGCCAGGGTTAGTTAGCTCTTCAAAAAAAAAAGAAAAAAAACCAAAAAAAAAAAAAAAAAAAAACCAACAAAAAAACCCCAGTGCATTTAAAGATGAACTTGTGATTCAAAGTGGCTGCAAAAATGAGGATCCATCTTCCACAGCCGGACAATTTTTTTTTTTTTTTTTTTTAAATTTAAAATTCAGTAAGTTGCAATTTCTGGTCTTCAAGATTTCTTCACCTATTAAGAAAACACAAAAACCTTCCCCCATCTTTATTACCTGTACAACAAAAGCATACTTGTGCGTATAAATACACAAATATGTATATACATACACATATGTGTTTATACACACACCAAAAGTGAGTGATAATAAAATCAGAGTGATAGTAAAAATTAGAATTTTTGGCTATTTGCCAACATAAGACTGCATAAAATGTCTCTCATTTTGAGGGAACTGGCAAAAATGAAAGATCTACATAATATTTTGATGAATGTGCCTTCAAGGCTGATGCTTTATAACATGAGTGATTTTGGGGCCAGCACACAAATATGCATACATATGTACATGCATACAGTATAAACATATCTATACACACAAGCGTGCACAGTATATGTTGTACGATATCTGTATCGAGAACAACTTTTAGCCCTGATCAGACACATAGAGTTGCAATCAATTAAGAGCAGGAAGACAGCAGATCAAGGATACAGCAAGCTTTGAGAGGCAGGGAAATGCTCACTTTGCAAGTGGCATGGCTGCATGATACCAAGAATTTTGAATTACTTTGATTTTAGAAAATAATTTGTTTTCTTTTTACATCAGAGCAAATACAACAAATTTGCCATCATATGCTGTTCCCTAATCCATATATCCATCATTATCCATTGCTGCAAGATCACGGAAGATTTGAAAAGATGGCTTACGTCCAATTCAACAGTGGATGATTTTTTGATGCCACCAGAGCTGAAACTGATTCTATTTAGCCACAAGCTTTTTTTTTTTTTTTAACGTGAAGTCAGATATTTTGATTCTTATTTTTTAAAAAAATACTAAGTGCCATAAAACCTGCAACCAGACCAGGTAAAGTTCAAATTAAAGTCATTCTGACCCCTTTCATTAAAATGCTGTGCATTTTTGTGCAAAGTATTTCTGACTCTTTTGGACAAAACTGAACGAAATAGTTCTTACAAATTAATAATAAAAGGTTGGAACCTTTTACTCACACAAACACTAGTGAATTTTCCAGGATTTTTTTTTTTGGCAGGGAATTTCCCCAAATCTAAAATAAAGAGAGGAAAAGTTGGGTTCTCATATTAGTTATTGGTTTTTGACTACTTGACAAAGGGAATAAATACAGTAGTTAAGTGCAAGGATTTCCCCCCTTCTTCAGTGTTGATGGGACTATTCACTTTGGACCTTCATCACCTTCAAAAGCAGACTTTGTGTCGTACAGATTTCTACGCATCTACATCTAAAAATTACCAGTGCTCCTTCATGCCAAAGTTTGACAAGAAATGTATTTCCAAATGTGTCACCAATACCATTGATAGTTAAATTTCAAGCCTGATTTCTTGTTTGCACAAGCCAACACTTCAACAGAGGGCAACTAAGGACCACTGCTTTGCTGAGCGGAGGCATTCAAATAGAAATCAGAAGGAATTCATGGTCTAGAATAAGGCATTTCTTTTCCCTAGGAAGTGAGACACACTTTATAGTAATGCAACATTACTGGGGGGAATGCCCACCTTCCACCATGGGGGAAAATAAGAAATCCCCTCAGATTTAGCTCTTTTGAATGCTCAAGCAGCTCAGCATTTTGCTCGTTGCCTTCCATATTCCTGAGCAGACTTCAAGAGCTGTTCAGAATTTGAATGGATCTTGTTTAAGGAATGGGAAAAAAAGCGCAAAACTTTAAAACAAAACAAAACAGCCCAACAACCCCCTCAACCCTCACAGTTCTAAACTCCGTAAAAGTCCTTTCATTTAAAAAAACGTTAACTCAGAAATTTTTTTTTTCAACTAGTATCAGTTAACATGGCAATCTGAGTGCTAAACAGAAATCAACTGAACCCCAGAAAGTCTGAATAAAAATGAGTAACTCTGGTGCACTCAGCAGGTCTCTAATGGAAGTTAATGAAAATTCTAAACTTCTTTCCCCAGAACTCTAGTAAAGTTTTTGTATTACGAGATTTTGAACTCATTTTGTAAAAAAAAAAAAAAAAAAATTTTAAAAAATTACAGATGCAGTAGCTAGGGGTCAAGAAAAACATGCCAACGAGTGCCATAACTTTACGTTTGCTAAGGGAAGATAAATAGTACAATGAAGGTCTGTCTAGTTTGTTTTACAAGCTTGTCTTTCTTGGTACTGAAGAAACAGTCCTATTCCCTGGTCTAACTTTCCAACTTGCTAACCTGCCTTTGTCCTGTACTGAAGAGCAAGAAAGGAACAAAATTTTTTTTTGTACCCCGACAAATGCATGAGAGAAGTATTATTGCACCTACCTATGGGTATTTCCTGGCTATAAAGCACAAAGCACTTCACTTGGACAGTCTCTCTTGCTGTTCTACTTCGTGCCTTTAACTTCTTACAAAAATATCAAAGATGCTTAGAATCCCTGTTTATTAGGGCGCTCAGATGACAAGGAAGAGCACCAGGAACTACGTATTCTGACCTCACCTTTCAATTGGTCAGCGTTACCCCAGCTGCAAAACACTCACTGCTGATTTACCTGCTTGTTAGCACACTCCACAGGCTGAAAGTACAGTGTGCCCCAGGTGTCAAAATTTACATATAGAACACTGCATTATGATGTATATGTAAACCACACATCTTTGTGTTGTCTGGAGCACAGAACAACCTCTTGCCAACGCATCTCATTCTCTGTATGAAAATCTGAAGTTAAGTTGTCCAAAGCTGAAGCAGAATAGTCACAATTTCTAGTCTTTACATTTGTTTAGTCAATTCTAGCTGTTAAGTACTGTCTAAACATGTTCTGACTGGGGGTTACAGCACTCATGACCCTCTCTCAGAGGGTCTGCAAGGTTGCCAGCCCAAAAGGCAAAGGTTAAAGCAGATGATCGTCTCAGCTTCCTCTGTCATTTGAGTCGGGGTCACCTTTCATCGTGATCTATGAGAGTCAGAGCCGTGAGCTACGACAACCACGAGGCACAGCTGCCCCTTGCCATCTGAAGCAACTCTATTTGAAGATGTGCCACTTCAAGGACCTAAGTTAGGACATTCTTCCTTAAGATGAGAGGAAAAATCAATCTGTTCCTGAAAGGGCTAATTTGCTTGGTGTTTCTGTAACTGTCAAAGAATAACCTTGTACTGAAGCACTCATCAGATCAGACATTGCTTCAGTACAGATTTGTCTTTAGCTTGACACATCAAGACGCAGGAGAGAAGGAATTCTTCAAAGCAACGTTTACTGCAGGGATCTAGCAAAGTGGCCAAGACAAAGTGTTCAGATCTGAGCGCACCACTCCGTAGAAAATCAAGTTCAAGCCTAAGATATTTCGCCCATCTCCCAGTCCAGGAGTGGCAGTGACACTGTTGAAGGTATGGGAGGAATGGAGCTGGGGATATTGTTTAGTCTCTGTGAGCAGTTAACAAGGCAAAACCTTGAGGGAAGGAACAAGATAATCACAAAAGGAGCACAAACTACTGAACCTTGAGTGAACTAGCCTAATTAACATCTAATTAAGGCCCAATTGGCATAACAGAAACCCACCCTTGGGTGGGGAAAGCCCCCTACTCACAGAAGTCCCTTCCTTACTGAGCATGCACAGTAAAAAAGAAGGACACTGTGACTTTTAAGTGGAGACAAGGCTTGTGAGAACCAACTGGAGCAAGGGTGACTGAGCCAACTTTTAAAAATACTGATAACTGTTGCTCAAAATGTATAAATATTTTCTGTGTGTTAACCGAGGTGTGCTAGCTTTGTGGACCTACCACCCAACTCTGCGCAGTTTTGGAATAAAAGCAAGTATCTCGACTCTGTGTTTTTCGGTTCTCTGCACACTGGGTGAAGAACCTGTATTTGGGACACCACCACCTTTGATCTGAAAGTCTTTCCACATGCTCTGCAAAGCCAGAAGGACGTGATGGATAGCAGCACTTGACTAAGAACTGCAGTTCCTCCACGTGCAGGCCAAGAATCTTGCACCCATCTCACATCTGGGGCCACTGGAATGAGCTGAGAATAGTCATGTTCTCCCTCCCAGGAGGATGCTGCTCCACCTTCTGCTGTTTTAAAGTCACTTTAACATATAAAAGGTAGAGATTTTCCACTGAACTGCTATTTCCTGCTTCAAGTGAGCCTATGGAAGATGGTTTCAGCAGTTCCTGAAGAATTTGACAGGCAGAATAAGCAAGCAAATCTCTTAAGTATCTGCTCTCAATGCTCCTGTGCTCAAAGTCCTGAATCATTAATTTTAAAATATAGTAAAACATGGCAGCTGGCACCTAGCACCATGTGCACAATGTTGGCAGTGTTGTCGGAAGCTGCAAAGCCAGAGGTGAAGGGATTAAGGGAAAACCAGGGGTGAACGGATTAAGGGAAAGCCACACATCAATTTGGTAACTTAGTTCTTGTAGGACGCTTCCTACAGCAGAAACTTTAGCAAAGCCAGTGGGAGGGAGCTGCCTGTTTTTTAGAAGGGGATTTCTGCTGTTGCAGTGTATCAAAAGATATCCCGTGGGTCATCACTCCCAAGGAGTCCATGGTTGGTTCACGGTCCACATATCAACAGTTAAATGTGCATTTTTGTGCTGTGCTTTCTCCAAAGTAACAAAAAATGTTCCTTCTACAATGCTGTACAGTTGCATGTTATAGATGGAAACCAACTGTCTAGTGCCACAACCTGTATGAACTTCTAATAAGCTGGCATTGGAAAAAAACCTGTCTTCATTAATCAATTTTGTAATGGCTCTGTTTATCTAAGTGCATTCTCATATCTGAATTTCTTCATAGCAGTTATGTAGCTGAGAGTCTCTGAGTCCCACAGTTAAGATTTATGTCCTTTCTCCTAACAACCATGTGCTCAATAGGCAAAGATGGAATAGGAACACTCAAGCCAGGAAACGTTAACCCACAACCGGTTCTAAGCCTACCCGCTGGAAAGAAATACCTCAATACATGACCTTAATGGGGCAAAAATTCATGTGGAACGGTAGAAAAATCCAGAAGTGTTTCCTCAGCTTCAGGTTACCACAGCACCATCAG